CAGTCTATTGGTTTAGCCCCCCCCCCCTTTTCAAATTAGCCCCCCCCTTTAATTTGCTTCCGACGCCTATGAAAGTAAAGTTTTCACCCCATCCCCGATTCTACAATGTACATGTACGTGCATGATATTAAAATTGGCAATTAATTAGAAAAAATAATACTAATAATAATACCGGTGTCATATAGTGAGACTTCCGCCATAGTGAGACTTCCCCCCGGAAGTCTGGCTATATAGTGAGTCTTCCCCCTGGGGGAAATATGGCTATATAGTGAGTCTTCCCCCTGGGGGGAAATATGGCTATATAGTGAGATTTCCCCCCATAATGACCACAGTGAGTCTTCCCCCTTTGGTTTTCGGTTTGGATTTTATATACATTGACATAATTAAAAACTTATTGTATGCTTTAGGGACCTTTTAACTTTTATAAATTTATGAAGTATTTTTAGGATTTATATTTCATTTTGAAATTAAATTTGCGTGATATTAATGAAATTACATCACTATAAAAACAAATAAGATGGACTTGAGTTCTAATTCACTTTAAATAAAATTCTGTCATGCATATTTTAGCAAAGGCACCGGATGCATGGATTGGGCTTAACCCCCCCCCCCCTTTTTTTTTTTTAAAAATCTATGGCCGGAAAATTGCATGAAAATGTGTGCATCCCCTGCTCATAACACCCATACATCAATTCTACAATTATTTTTTTCATTTTGGTCATGTTTTAAAAATTATTTATTTAAAGATATTTTATTAAACTGGGTTTGGACATTAATTGGATGTTTGAATACACGTATAAAAAAAAACGTAAAATTTAAAAACATGTATACTGCATTGCAATTGTCACTTATTTGACTAAACTATTTTGCACTAAAGTCTGAGATCACTAATTGTCAATTTTAGTGTGTAGATCACGTATACATGTATATATATGGAAGATAATTTCGTCATAAATTAACACTGTAAGAATTTTTTAAAATAATAAAACAATGTTCCGGAAACTATAATAAGAGGGGGAAGTCTCGCTATGAATGGGGGAAGGCTGGCTATAAAGTGAGCCTTCCCCCCGGAAGAACGGCTATATAGTGAAACTTCCGGGGGGGAAGTCTCACTATATAGCCATTCTTCCGGGGGGAAGACTCACTATATAGCCAGCCTTCCGGGGGGAAGCCTCACTATGGGGGAAGTCTCACTATACGACATCGGTAACAGTTTTCAGTAAATTAAAATATATCATGTAATACATAATGCTGTAATATTATTACGTGCGTGTACAACACATCTTTACTGAAAATATTCGCTAAAGTTGCTACATGTAGGTATGCAAATTCCTTTGATCGTTATTCTTATAGTATTAATACATATCTTTTTTTTATTTTCTGAAAAAAATAGTTTTAGATATGTATGCCAACTCCTGTAATTGAACTGCCATATCATAGACAATAAAACCTTTTTTTTTTCTATATTGCTAAAATTCGGTCCTATAACACTCTATAGGTATCTGTTTTAAACACTCATCAAATAATATCAAGTTTTAGGAACGGTTCCATGGAGTTTTAAATTTTGTTCTCTTAAAATACGGACATTATTCAACTGATATACAAGAACGTCAGTTAAATTCGCTCTTTCTCTCTCGAAAATCAAATGTTCGGTATTTCGTTCTATTTCGACAGACTTTCCACCCATACCACATGGCTATCTATTACTTTATTTCATTAAAAGTATTTTATAAATTTCAAGTTGCACGATCGCATGTTTATCATATTTTCTTTGTTGTACGATCGCATATAGAGTCGTTGCCGATCGCCAAAACGTTTGGCATGTGTTCACTTCAAACCGTTATTTCAACGCTTTCTATTTGATAAAGAACTTCAAATCGGATTTAAAATTAATGATTTACCTATTTACAATGCAAATGTGCCTTTTGGACTGTCGGGTGTACGTAATAAGGTAAGAAATACCACTTAAACGAGCTTTATGTGTCACGTTAGGGCAGTCATGTTCAAGGAAAACTTAACTTTAACAGAATATATGGTGATTTTTTTAAAATGCGTAGGGGACTTTTATGGTGTTGAACATGTCTAGTAGCATTTAAAAAGTCAAAAATGTTGATGGAAAATTGCGAGGAAATAGGACAAAATAATGTTTTATTTAACCTTATCTTCCTCATGTAGTTGAGTTTAGTTATCCGCGTTGCCGATCGCATCCGCGTTGCCGATCGCGCGTTGACAGGGGTGTTATTGTTAGTTGCACGTGTGGCGCAGTGGTTAGAGTGTCTACTCTAGAGTCGCGAAATAAAGGAGTTGATCCTTATATGTACGTTGCGGGTTCAAATCCCACTGTAGGACGTGGAGAGCGGACCTCCGGATGAGACCGTCACCGTATAAACGGAGGTCCCGTATCGCAGTAAGTGCTAGTGGCACGAAAAAGCCAAGATCCCTCACTGCTAAATGGCCCAAAGTGCCGAGCATTGGACAAGAATTGCAGCTCTCCACTGGCAATTGGTGGCGTTTCTATATGAGTAAAAAGTTCCCGAGAGGGACGGTAAACAACATACACTCAATCAATCTGCTTCTTGTGTAATTTTAAATGTTTTAATAGCTTATGGATTATCCGAATTCTGTCATAAGGAAAATTGTTACGTTAATCTCTCTTTGTGTTGAAATGATTGAGGAGTGTGTGTTTGTGTGTGTGTGTGTGTTAGGGTGTGTGTGTGTGTGTTTGTGGGGGGGGGGGGTTGAGGAGGGGTAAGGGACGTGAGGGAGGGTAGGTGTGTTATTTTGTTCTGGGATGGAATGGAAGTGACGCATGTTTGTATCAGGATCGAAACACTGTCTTGAACTTCAACACAGTGTAGAAAAAAATAACTTGCATAGAGGTCATGCGCGAATCAAGGGGGGGGGGGGGTGGGTCCAGACCCCCCCCCCCTGGAATTTGCAGAGTTTTTAAATTTATATACTTAACCAAGTAAAAAGTGACCTTGGACCCCCCTCCCCCAAGAAAACGCAGATCCCCCTAAAAACCTGGATATGGTTAGGTTGATATGAAAAGTCATATGTCATACTGCAGTAGGTACGAAGAGGAATTGGAAGTCAACGACTAACCCCACCCCTCCCACGAAATAGGATTTTCCCATTTTGGCGAGGTAACTTTTTATTTTTTGCTTGTCAACAAATTTCTGGATTGAATTTTTTTCACTAGGGTAGACCCCCCCTTCCTGGAAAAAAAATTCCTGGATCCGCGCCTTGAGGTAACAAAAATATTCCACCATAGACTTTTTCTAAACTCCATTCTTGTACTTATCAAAAAGACAAGTAAATTAGTCAACGAAGTAAGTCCTTTCCCACCACCTCCCTACACCCTTATAATTTGCTTCCAATGTATATAAAGCCTTTCTTTTTAAATGACCCGTGAACTCGATTTTGTTATAAATTCAATATACTCATAATTAAAATATTTGCATATTACATGTAATACACCCCCATTTCTTTTACAATTTTCTTTGTTTTCTCTAAAGTTCGTTTATTTGATTTTTTTCTCCCTCCCCCTTTTGTCCCCCGCTTGAAAAGTGGGGATATTCATTTGGGTTTGTCCGTCCGTCCGTCTGTCCGTCTTTCTATCTGTCTGTAACGCTTTCGTTTCCACACGATATCTCGAGAACCCTTTGAGCTTTTGCAATGAAATTAAGTATAGCAACTCCCTGTGGACTAAAGAAGACCCCTACTATTGATTTTGAGGTCAAAAGGTCAAAGGTCATAAATAAGCAAATTCTGTCTGTAATAATACTTTCGTTTCCACACGATATCTCTAGAACCATTTAAGCTATTGCAATAAAATTTTACATTACAACTCCCTGTGGCCTAATAAAGACCCCTATTGATTTTGAGGTCAAAAGGTCAAAGTTCAAGGTCGTAAATTTACACATTCTGTCTGTGTGTAACACTATCATTTCCGGGCGATATTTCAAGAAGATTTTGAGGTTATTCAATGTAATTTTATACCAAAACTCCCTAGGACCTCTATCACCCCTCTCAAAGTGCCCCGCCGCGTTTGTTTTATTAGTATTTATAGTATTACATGTCGCTATTTTTAGCACAGGGGCATGAGGAGAGTTATTGCGTATAAAACAGGTTCTCGGTGGACTTTATGTTCTTATTACATCTATTAGAACGTTTAACAAATAAAGGCTAAATAAATCAAACACCATGGATTGTGTAAAATTTTGACAATACCGAACATGAATATATACATGTATGTGACTTCACTTCTGCATATACTTGGCTCCACGTAAAGCGATTCCGTAGTCTAGTGGTATGTTTCTCGCTTCCAATGTGAGAGGTTCCAAGTTCAAGTCTCGGACGGACAACTTTTTTTTTTGAAATACTTTTTTTTTACTGAATAATAGTATTCAGCACGCGAAATGAAAAATTTACGAGGTCTGGCTTGTAAAAACTCATAAAATCATCATTACAGTGTGATAAATATTCCATATAAAAAGAATCTTCTATACACATAATGAAGAATAAGCAATTAAATCTTTACATCCATAATGGTATATTTTATTTGCTTCAGTATACATGCATGTATACATTTAATAATTCTACAAATTCAGTGAGGGGGATCCAACTCTCCCCCTCCCTCCCCCCGAACTGCGCATGATTTACTTTTTCCTTAAGCGGGGGACACAAATTCTCTGAATTAGCTTGTTAAATTTTGTTTTCGAGAATAGAGTTTTAAATTATTTTAGTTTATTTTACTATTGTTCTCGATATGTCTAAAGGTTCGTCACTACAACAATGCCTCCAAGATGTCCCACCCTTCATCGGAAATTCGCCCCGCTCTATTTTTTTTTTCAAGTTTGTAATTTGTATATACGTAAATAAACAACTAATCATGCTAATATTTAGACTCTCTCTCTCTTTCTCTCTCTCTCTCCTTTTCACAGTTTTTACGCTCTATTGATCAGTAATTTGATCACGTGAGTTGACTCGAGAATTCGCCACACTGAGATTTGGGTTTACTCGAATAGCAGTGATTTCGCATTTGCTCTTCTGCAAAAGCCTTCCAAACGATTTATCAAAGCCTTCTTTCATCACCAAAGATACAGAAGAAGACTACTTCAGACTGAGGTAAGTTTATTTTTTGCTGCAATCTGTTTTTTCATCTTTATACAATGTTTTGAGTGTTTAAAATGTAAGCATCGGTGAGTACTCGGGTTTTCCCGCCGCCATTTCAGATCACTGTCCAATATTATTCACACGCGAAATATTTGTTTACATTATTACCATAAATTGTAAGTAAACATTTATGTTAATTAATTTTCTGCAATGTATATACAGTTGAAATGATGGTGCAATTATAGCGGGAAATGTCTCCATGCTCAATGATTGCGCATGCTTTTGGGAGGGGATGTGAAAAATTTCTTGCAAAATAAATTTCACATATCCAAAACGTATTTTTAGGTCACCTAAGTATTGCTATCCATTTTCGTCCGCTGGCGTTCGTCGTGCATTAACATTTGAACATTTTCAGCTTCTCTGAAACCGCTGAACCATATGCAACTTCAACCAATCTTTGCATGTAGCATACCGGTATATGGGTGAAGGGGAACAAAAATTGTGAATTTCATGGTTCTTGCCCCTCTGAGGCCTGGGGGGGGAGTAAAACCATTAAAATGAATGCAATCATTAAAAGTCTTCTTCTTTACTCCTGGACATCAAGCAGTCAAACTTTTAGTATGATTGTAATCAGCATTGAGTCCTCTAACCAAAATTGTGAAATTCATGGCCCCAGGGTGTGGGGTTTTAGTGCTAGGGTGGGGCTAAATAGGTTATATAGTGAAAATGCATTATTTGAATTCTTTGAAAATCTTCTCTGCTCATAAAGCTGACATGAACTCTTAAAAAGGCATCATTTTACATCTTTGTACGACTTACTACATTCCTGTACGCCTTTGTCCACCATATTTCATCGATTCCGCCATATTTAATTGAAAATTTTTGGTCACCTGTACCTGCTATATAAAGCCTTGTACAATTGTTTCACTTGAGTGATTTTCTAGCCTGGCTGTCGATATGTACACATCTCCAATAGCATAGTTTTTAGAAGTCCATAAACTGACCAAATACATGTTTGAGAAGTAAAAATTCAACAAAAACTAGAACTATACCGAGAATTGAACTATTTTTGAATGCATTTGCTGCAATATAGAAAATACACTAACACAGAATACATTCATGTACAGCAAAAATCCATGCAGGTCGAGAAAACGTGTCAAATGCAGTGATAAAAACATTTACCTGAATACTGTTATCGTTACAGGGATGTGCACATGTCGAAAGAATTATCCCATTTGACTTTTATTGAAAAATGCATCTCAGAAGTCATGTAATCCATTAATTTGCTAACTCAATAGTAAAAAAATGCTTGGACACACGTGGCCCATGCCGATCATTTTATTTGGTCAGGGAAAATATCAAAGGTTGATTCAAAAATAAACATTACTCTTGTTTGTAAATGTTGTAAATAAAATTAATAAAAACATAGTTTAATTTCATCAAATTTATAATAAAGCATACATTATAAGGAATCATTCACCCTTTGGAGATATTTTCCTGTGATAGGAGGGGGGAGGGGGTAATAAAACATGCTTAACACTGTCATAAAAGTAATTTAAGAAAAACGTCTGAAACAGATCGGATTTCTTTATGATCAAATATGATCAAATAAATACTGTGTATTGGCTTTATTAGACCTAATATAATTTGATTTAAAGTTATTTATAATTTTATGCACAATGAAAGAAAAAGTGAGCAAGTTCATATACCCCTTTCTCTCCCAAAAATCAAGGTGCTGAAATTCCCAGAAAAAATAAAGGAATCGTAATTTCCTTGTTATATGCACATCTATGTACATTGTGTTCTAAATATCTGCAAAGTTTGACGAAATTGTGTGCAGCAGTTTATGAGGAGTTGCGCTGACAAACTGTTCATCGAGCTATATTCAAGATATGGCCAAAATCTAAGTGTAAAAATGCGGAAATTCCCGAAAAACTAAAGAATTCGGAATTTCCTGGTGATATACAGATGGGTGATGTGCAAATCTACACATTGTCTCCTATAAATATCTGCAAAGTTTTACAAAATTCTATGCATTAGTTTATGAGGAGTTGCGCTGACAAAAAAAAAAAAAAAAAAAAAAAAAAAACAGGACTGACTGACTGACGGACGGGTCAAAAACATTATACCTCACGCATCTTGGGGTATAAAAAACAAGTTTGATTCTGTGGTACAATGATAATGAAAATAGAATTAAATGTGAATTAAATTTCTTGACATAAATAATTAATGATTATTAGCCAAAGCATATAGGAAGAGAGAGCAAACTCCCTGTGAGAATTCCACATTCTACCTAAAATTAGCTTTAAAAATTCTCTTGTCTGTTGTCCAGGTCCAGGTTCGACACGTTTGAGAAGGTATTTGAGATAATTCCCAATGTACTCATTCCTGTGATGTTTTTTTAAAATGTTTTTTACCCCCCACTTGAAAATCGCGATGGGTATATAGTATAATCGTTATGTCCGTCCGTCTGTATGTCTGTACGTCCGTCTGTAGATGTCTATTACGCTTTAGGGTACGCATCTCTTATCCGCAAATCCTCTTAAACCACTGAGTGAAATTGAATGAAACTTTCACAGAATCTCAAGTTTATTACATATTACCATTGTGTACCTCCTATTTAACTTTTTGATCCGACACATATTTTGGGTTTACCGACAACAGCAAAATATGTACTTTGTCATTATAACCATATAGGAGGCGGGGGCATCATTTATAGAGCTCATTGCTCACAATACTTCTAGTTTCTCTTTCATATTGAGCGTTTAGGAAAATTTCTTGTCCAAAGTAAAATTATTATTCAATTTATGAAGTTTCGACATCTATAGGCAGCGGAAAGGGCAAAAATTACAATATAAGAAAACAAACAATTATTTTATTTCAATGATCATAAAAACTTAACAAATGATATACAATGCATAATCAACAGACCTTTTCGCAGAACAAATATACATTAAAGCAAAACCAACGAACAAGTACGTAACAAACATACATGAATGCAAAACCAACGATCATCTTTGCAGTACAAACGTACATAAAAACACGACAAACGAAAAAAACTTAACCAACGTGCACGCGGTAAATCTAGTCTTCCCGACTCCCGGCTCCCGACGGTCCCGTTTTTTTTTTCTTGCCGATTTCTTTTTTGTCGGCGCACAGAAAGTCTTCACACTTCTCAGGCAAATTTCTAGGTTTAAAAAAATTCATTAATATATAAAAACTTTAACAAATTTGCGTATTTATTACTGAATCAGCAGTATCATCTGCCAAAAGCGGTAAATCTAGTACTCAGCTATAAATGCGAAAACCTTTGAAAAAGGGACAGAAATGTTTTCGTAAAAATCGCGATTAAAAACAACAAACTGAGGTACAGTTTATATTTTTGAATAAATGAAAACCCTCATTTACATGCTAGATAATTTTTATGCATAGAAATTCCCCCACACATTTTTTTTGTATAGAACTCTTTGCCACATTATGTTTATGTTCCCAGGCTATACAACATGGACGTGGTTCTACCTCGGATCCCCCTTAAATTTTTTACTTTTTTTGGGGGGGGGGGTGTTAATTCGTCTTAAAAATTTAAAATGAAAGAAAAGAATTTACATAAAATGTAGAAAGATATCTCATTCTCCTGAAGGCCGTTTCGTCAATTTTTGTTGTTCTTGTTACATAAGTTGGTTTTCCCCAATTCTTTAAATATTACAAGAATCTATTATGATAACTTTACGTTACAGTGGCATATCATATGACAGGTTCGTAGCAACAATTCCCAATTTTAAGAGTAAGGTCAAAAAAGGGTTATGTAGTACATGTATATTAGGAAAAAAATTGGCACTGAAAGAAGTTGAACCTACATGGGACCCCCCCCCCCCCCCCCACACACACACATACACACACACGAGATTTTCGAGTTTGGGCTATATCATTTAAATTTCCTTTTTGTTATTGCTTGTTAAGTTTTAAAAATCTTTTTTTCAGCTAGATTGAATTTTTTTCTTTGGTTACCCCCTCCTTTTAAAAACGATGCTACGTCAAAGTATAATAATGCAGTACTTTCATTTTGCATTATTTTACCATAAGTACAATGTTAGATTTAGCTATTTTTATGAAGAATTTGATAAAAATCTTTTTTGAAATCAAATCATTTTGATGTTATGAATTTTTATAGAATTTAATTGTTCATTTTTAGCTCACCTGAGCCGAAGGCTCAAGTGAGCTTTTCTGATCAAAATTTGTCCGTCGTTTGTCGTCGTCGTCGGCGTAAACTTTTCACATTTTCATCTTCTTCTCAAGAACCACTGGGCCAATTTCAACCAAACTTGGCACAAAGTATCCTTGGGTGAAGGGGAATCAAGTTTGTTCAAATGAAGGGCCACGCCCCCTTCCAAGGGGAGATAATTATGAATTTGTGAAAAATTTATGGCATTTTTAAAAAATCTTCTTCTCCAGAACCGCTGGGCCAGGAAAGATGAAACACATGTGGAAGCATCCTCAGGTAGTGTAGATTCAAGTTTGTTCAAATCATGACCCCCGGGGCAAGGGTGGGGCCAAAATGGCCGACCCAAGTTTTACATAGGAATATATAGGAAAAATCTTTTAAAATCTTCTTCTCCAGTACCACTGGGCCAGGAAAGATGAAACTCATGTGGAATCATCCTCAGGTAGCGTGGATTCAAGTTTGTTCAAATCATGACCCCCAGGGCAAGGGTGGGGCCAAAATGGCCGACCCAAGTTTTACATAGGAATATACAGGAAAAATCTTTAAAAATCTTTTTCTCCAGAACCACTGGGCCAGGAAAGATGAAACTCATGTGGAATCATCCTCAGGTAGAGCAAATTTCAGTTTGTTCAAATCATGACCCCCCGGGGCAAAGGTGGGGCCAAAATGGCCGACCCAAGTTTTACATTGGAATATATAGGAAAATCTTTAAAAATCTTCTTCTCCAGAACCACTGGACCAGGAAAGATGAAACTCATGTGGAATCATCCTCAGGTAGTGTAGATTCAAG